AGAGAGAGAGAGAGAGAGAGAGAGAGAGAGAGAGAGAGAGAGAGAGAGAGAGAGAGAGAGAGTTTTCCAGCCATGCACGCAGAGAGATAGAGAGACGCTACTTCCATCGATAGGATGAGCTGGTACCCGCTTGGTATCGGAGCTGGTACCCACTATTCCATGCGCGCCGTCGTGTGCAGGGAGTGATGCGCCATAGCTGAGGTGGCCACCAAGAGAAGAAGTCCACCATATCGGACCTGGAGGTTGGAGAAGCCGCCATGCATCTGCAGAGAAGGCCACGACGAAGAAGAAGACAGAGAGAGAGAGAGAGAGGAGAGAGAAAGGTTGAGCGATACAAGATTGGGTTACTACGTACCTGCTGCGCTGGAGATATCGCTACGGCGCGCGCGCGCGCGAGAGAGAGAGAGAGAGAGATGAGCGATACAAGTTTGGCTGTTACGTACMTGTGAAGTGCAGTCCCGTGAAGAAGAAGAAGAAGGCCATAGCCGCGGAGTTTGACCACGGAGTGACGAAGGAGGGAGGTGAAGAGGGACAAAGAGGGAGAGACTGAGAAGGGAGAGAGAAGCCATAGCCGAGGAGAGGAAGAGAGAGAGATGATCAAAAAAAAAAAAAAAAGAAAGGAGACAGTCAGGGTGAAGAGTGAAGAGGCGAGGTGAAGGGAAGGAAGGTGAAGGGTGGCGACGAAGGTGAAGCCGGCCGCCATAGCCGGGGAGTTGACCGGAGGCGTTGACCAGGGTTGATCGGGAGTTGACCTGGGGTTGACCGAGGGTTGACTGTAGCATTGACCGAGCATTGACCGAGCGTTGACCAAGCGTTGGCTAAGGTGTTGACCAAGATTTTGACCAAGTTGGAGCCGGTATAATCTCGCCAAGCTTTCAAACTATCCCTCGCCCTATGGATGTGCACACACCCTATGGTACTTGCTGAGTCAAGTCTGTCTGTCTATTCTTTCTGCATCGATTCTCTTCTGTCCAGGTGATAGAACTCTGTGGATGAAGGATAGGCCTTGTTGACCAAACCCCTGTCGGACCAAGTAGGGCTAAAGACTGTGTTTGACGACTCGACTGTCCCAGAGGCCTACCCCTCCCAAGGACCAGTACAGACTGACGGGCTGCTCGGTGTGGCACGGTAGGCCCGAAAGGCTGAGTTGTGGGCTGCGCAACAGACAGTCTAAGTGTTGAGAGACCTGCTGATCGCGTCGTCCTGTTTGCGACGTTAAATAATTCCTGAGGAGTTACGGGGGATCTCCTTAAATGCCTCCTGATCAGCGACAGGTCTAGTAGTGACAGCCTTTGGAACCGTAACTCCTTAGTTGACAGAATCCGTGTCCGGGTTCTGTGAGTCTTAGATTGAGTTAGTCAGTGTCAGTCGGGGGTTAGAGTCTAAGTGGTGAGGTTTGGAACCGTTGACCCAATTGTGCACTAATCACCATGGTTGAGACCCGTACTGGGAAGAGTACTAGCCCCTATACCCAGGAGCAACAAGAGAAGATGGCCGCCTTAATGAGAGAGAATAAAGAGAGCAAAGAGCTCCTGAAACAGGCGAAGTTAAAGGCAATTGCAGAGGAGCAGGCAACAAAGATGAAGAAGTTGGAGGAGGAGATGGAGGAGAAGAAAAAGGCTGTCGAGGTGGAAGCAGCAGCAGAAGCAGAAGAGGAGAGAAAACGCAGGGAGGTAAAAGGGGAGAGTAGTGGCACGGCGAATGAGGATGCAGCGATGGAGAAGAAGATTAGTGAGTGGATTGCTAACTTATCATTGGGGGAAGACGAGGAGGCACAGTTATATGTGCCACATGATGAGAAGGAAGCGTTAGCCAGGGCGCTAGCAACAATTGAGGACCCCCTGGAACGACAAGAAGCAGAGGAGGAGAAAAAGTTGGAGTGGAAACTGAGGGTGAAAAGGGAAAAGAAGAGGAGGAGGGAGGAAGTTAATAGGTTGACCGCGGAGGTGGCAAAGGTGAGAGAATGCAGACAAGAGGTGCATGCGCAGGCAGACATTTCTGCCAAAATGGATAAGATGCTGGGGTATTTGGAAGTGTTGAGTGAGGCTTGGATGGAGGAGCTCCAAGCTAGCTGGGGTCACGATGTGGCCGTGAGTGCCATGCGGTTAGGATTCCGGGATTTTGCGCGCGACATGGTCACCCACGTTGGGGGCGAAGTTAGGCGGTTAAGAGAGAACGTGGGAAAGTTTTGTGAGGGCGCCATCGAGAGTGCCAAAGCAGTTGCCGATTTTGAGAGTGAGGCCAGACCCCGTAAAGAGCCCGTCAAGCTTAAGTTCCCAGACGCATATGGCGGGAAGAAGGAGGAGAATTTTGATAACTGGGAGGCGAGAGTCAATAGTTATGTGTATTTACAGCACATCCTGACTTAGGAGCAAGTCCTCGTCGCCTTCCAGGCCCTCAAAAATGAAGCGGCTAGTTTTGCCAGATCCCTTGCACGCGCAGCAGGTTGTGAAAACAACCTGGTTGCATGCTCTAAGATTACCCCCCTTCCTCAATTCTTCAAACTCCTGAGGGAGAGATTTGCTGACCCAACGAGAGGCGTTAGAGCTTCTGATAAGCTGCAGACCATTCACTCGCGACAGTGGAGGAGTGCGAGGGCACTGAAAGCTGTCATGGACGACTTAGTAGCCGTCCCAGACCATGGGGTCACTGAGACCCAACTGGTCCAATTGTTTTATCGTGTCATGCCAGAGCCCCTGCGTGGGCATTTCTTTGACAAATCTCAACAGGCCGACATCACGTATGATGTGCTGAGTAGAAAGGTGGTCTTGTTCGAGTCGAAGTCCATGCCAGTGTCCACTTTCTAACACAAGGACTTGGATAAGGGGAAGAAGTGGAAGGGTCGTACCATCTCTGGCCAAGTCAGGGCCAAGGATCACATGATCCTTACTTTAGAAGAAGGTGGTACAAATGAAGTCCCCTACAGTGAGATTGAGTGGGGGTTAGAGGAGGAGGACAGCAACGTAAGGCAGGGGAGGTCCTATGCGGCTGTCGTGGCTGGAGGGAGGCCGCAAGGTAGAGGAGGAGGCCAAGGCCAAAGGGGTCAGGCCACGGGAGGCCGAGGACCGGGCGCACAGGGGGTTGGCGGACAAGGGAACCGCCAAGTGGAAGGTAGGGGTCAAGGTCCCCCGCCAAATTGTCAGGGTTCTTGTCGGTCCCCGCAGAGACGAGGTGGAAGGCCACCTCAAGGAGGATGGCACCCAGGCTTACCGCAGGGCAGACCCTGGGAAGATTTGGGCTTGGACCAATGCG